TTGTGCCCCGCCAGCTTCTTGTTCCATGCCTACCATGGTGTTTTTGTACAGACAGCACTTCAGACAGCAAGTATGCTGTAGTCGGCAATCATTCGTTTTGGTACAGAGTGGGACAGGTAGGGGGTGATGTTGCTGTAGTCGAACGGTGAGACGGACGTGTAGTTCAGTTTTGGGCACGCGTACGGTGCTGCAGGGATTATATATAGGTGTAGTAGTACCTCTTCGGGCTCTTGGATACCTTTTTCTTGCTACGTGTGCGTGTTCTTTAGATCCTCAGATGGCTCTAGCACTTTCGTGACCACGGGCTGAGAGTCTTTGCTAGATTTTGGCATTTAGCAACTGGCATACGGTTTAATGTGAAGTCAACAACAACAACAACACACGCGTACGATACCCCGTGGACGACTGCTTGCTGCAGTCTATATGCGAGACGCATGGGTCACGCTGTGAAAGCGAGACCGATCCAGCATGGTTGACATGAATATGCATGTGTGCGTGCGTGTGTTGTCTGTTGTGTGTCTCAATTGCGATGTGCCGTGTGTGCGTGCGTGCGTTGTCTGTTGCGTCTCAATCGCGATGTGTTTCTTGCTTGAACTACTGCTGAAGCAGCAGCGGTCACGCTTACTTACCAGCCGACCAAGCCGATTAATCAATCCACGTAGTAGGAAGACGTCAGGCTTCGCGGGATGAGCCGATGAACTACGACGCGAGCACTCTTTCTTCTCTCTACCGACAGGGAGGGTGATTGAGTTGCACGACACAGCAGTGTCCTGCTGCTAGAGTAAGGATAATACCTGTGTGTGCATGATTGATGTCAAGGGCGTGTCTGTGTGTGCTGGTCCTGCCTCTCCCTTCCACCCTCTTTGCGGGCGCGAGCTCTCCGCCAGCACAGCGCCACACATTGGTACATGCTATGCATGTCAACCATGCTGGATCGGTCTCGCTTCCACAGCGTGACCCGTGCGGCTCGCATATAGACTGCAGCAAGCAGTCGTCCACGGGGTATCGTACGCGGGTGTGCATGTTTCCAAACAGGGCAATTATGCTGGGGTATCTCCCTTCTTCCCCTCGCTCCTCGACAAGCTTTTGCTTAGACATGGGTTGTAGCGAAGGGGGGGGTCTTTCTGGCGAGCAGGGCTAGACTCACCCTCAAGGGATGACCGAAACCTTCTTGCTGCTGCGCATCCGCCGCGAGGCGTGCGTGTGGTGGTGGAGTTGGGTCGGCACTGATGGGGTCAGGCGGGAAAATGTAGATGCGCGGGCCTTTCTGGCCGTCGGCGTTGGCAGTGATGCCCATCTCATTTTTGTGCGCGGAGGCAGACACCATCAGAAAGGTGGACGGGCACTACACGGCCCTAGGTTTGCTAGAGGGAGCTGTATTGCCTCAGTAACCTGGCTTCGCCATCAAAGGAGGAGGGAGCAGGTGGCGACGAGCTGAACTAGGCTGGTTGACCATTCGGCGCGAGAATTTTTATTTTTTTCAGACCAAGAACCTTGAGTGCAATGAGGGAGAAAGCGAGGAACGGACTGGGAAGGACAGCAACGAGAGCGTGTACGGACGGAGCAGGTCGAGTGGCGTTATGCTCGGGCTGACTACAGCGGCGCCGGACGGAGCAGCGGCACCGGAGCATGCGGGCGACATCGACCCGTGGCGCACGGACAAACATTTATATCTGATCTGTGTTGTCAATTTTTCTCGTTTTTTTCCTGACTTTCGGTGTTGGTTCTATGTGATGACGTCGTCACTGGTTTTGTAGAGAGACCCGTCAGAGATGGCGTGGCTAACCCGGGTGCATTGGTTTTGTGCCTGATCGTGGAAGACCCCTTCAATGTGGAACGATTCTTAGCTATTGTCGATATTTTCACTGCGTGCCTAACACAGACGATCGGGAGAGGTTCGGGTGATTGTCCATTGCAATCATGGCTTTGGTTGGTTGTTCTTTTTCACTGTACGTCCGCAGACACATTCTGACAGCACTTCAGACAGCAGCTTTGTGCCCCGCCAGCTTCTTGTTCCATGCCTACCATGGTGTTTTTGTACAGACAGCACTTCAGACAGCAAGTATGCTGTAGTCGGCAATCATTCGTTTTGGTACAGAGTGGGACAGGTAGGGGGTGATGTTGCTGTAGTCGAACGGTGAGACGGACGTGTAGTTCAGTTTTGGGCACGCGTACGGTGCTGCAGGGATTATATATAGGTGTAGTAGTACCTCTTCGGGCTCTTGTACACCTTTTTCTTGCTACGTGTGCGTGTTCTTTAGATCCTCAGATGGCTCTAGCACTTTCGTGACCACGGGCTGAGAGTCTTTTGCTAGATTTTGGCATTTAGCAACTGACATACGGTTTAATGTGAAGACAAACAACAAACAACAACATTGCCCGGCCATTGTTGCATGAGAGCGGAAGAGTTGATGGTTGGTGTTGTTTCGCAGGGGCGGAAACTGATTCCTGCCCGGTTGCCATGGTTGTTATTGGGCGGGAAGATTCGCCGTTTGGTATCCCAGGGTTGGAGGGGAAAAGGAGTTGGGAAGATTCCTGCGGGGGAAATGATTAATTAAAGGGTCTCTTTTCCCGACAGGTCAGGGTACATTTCCGAAAACAGGGTACAGTTGTTGAGAAAAGTAGTCACGGCAGGGTATAACCTGCGCCTTTTCGGACGCACCGGGGTGAAATTGGGCGCTGACCAATGGTATGAGTATATTTACTGCTGTTACTGACTGTGTACCCAGGTGTGTCGCTTTTCGACCAGGGGATACCCTGTTCTGTCGTTTTCCTTTGTTGTTTTCCATCCGGTGTTCATCTCTTTGTTGTGATAATGCCACAATCATTTCGCGCCACTTCGAGATGCAGGCGTGCAACACCGACCTAGGCGGATAAACCCGACTCGGATACAGCAGTGGGGGGCCCTCAGTAGTGCTACATGGACCAGACTAACCGGAACTATTCAGAGGGACCGGCACTATTCAAAGGACAGTAGAGTGATGGTGACCCCTAGTCTCAGTTGTTACCTCGCATAGCGCCCAGAGGGAGTGGAGGACTCCAGAATATCTGGCGTTGATTTCTATTGACTTGCGGACCCCTCGGGGCCATTTTATTTGAGTGCACCTTTTTAGGGTAAGTTAGCCTGCGACCACTGGAATCGACCGCGTCGAGTGTTGTATCAGTACGGACATGCGAAGGTACTGGGTAGTGAGAGATCGGAACGATTTTCAATGTGAAGACAACAACAACAACAACAACAACAACAAGAGGTCCCTGTTTAGTGCCGGGGGGTGCGCCGAAACTTCACCGGCACTAAACCACTGTTTAAGGTACAGAATGATTTGGTATTCCAGTGTGTGCGAGCCGAAAACACTGTACCAGCACTATACCGGCAACCGGCACTATTCAACCGGCACTAAACAGGGACCCTCTACTGTACTGAAATGACTTGGGGTGATTCAGTCTGTGCCCGCCCAAACCGGGATGACTGAGGGCCGCTGTCGGCCGAATTGTCGTGCCCACACGTAGAAGAGGGCTGGTACAAACGACACGCGAGACATCAAGAAAAGGAAGACACCTACCCTCGCATTCGTGCAAGAGCACCCCAGTGCACATGCAGGACTACATCTGTGGGAGACTACAGGTTCATGTGGGAGACGAGTTAACCTACGTACGTAGATGCATCACCCGCGGCTGAACAAAATCGAATGTACGTTTCATGGAAGAACAATTCCACTGCATCAAGAACATCAACTTCCTCGCACCCACCTCGAGCACAGCGTTCAGAGTGCCGCCTCCAGAGCCGATCCTCACTCCTTCGGGATCAGACACGGCTAGAATGAGCACCTCCTTCGTTCCTTCTGTCCCGCTCATGCCCACCCTGTGCACGAGCTCGTCGAGGTACGCCTTGGAAGCTCTCGGGTTGGGTGCCGTGATGGCGAGGCAGTCGAACGAGAAACCTTCAGGCACAAGGCATCGCTGGTGGCAACAAGCGCCGCGCGCTTGATTCGCGGCGCCCGCATCCTCTGCCAGGATTGGCTCGGAAGTATCAGCCATTTGATGATCTCGGAGTGCCGCCGATAGTTACAAGAGCACGGCCGGTGGGATGCGCACACGGAGTGATTGTGTGAGCGAAATATGGTTGCCAACTACCGACAGCAGTGCGGAGTATTTTTTTTTTTCGACGCGGCGGAATTGCCAGGAGAGGCCGGTTCTCACTTTTCTTCTGCCCCAAACGTTCACGTTCGGTTGCGCACGCAACGCCGGTCGCCCAGGTGGTCTATAGAACGAGCCACCTAAGAAATATCTTTCTTTAAAGCCGATCGATGTTGTGCGTTTGCTGTCCGCCGGGTTTGGGTTACGTCTATCAGTACCCTGCACACCCCCCCAGCGAACCACTAACGTCTGCGGTGCCCCTCCCTTTAACGTTTCCTGCGTGGGCTCGACAAGTTGACGAGTACCTGGTCGCCCCACCGCCAGTGGAGAGACAGAGAAGGCCCGTGCTCGATGAGAAGCCGTGGCAAACCGGACGCATCGAGGCCTGATTTGACTTCCCACACGCCTAGGATGAGCCCTGATGAGCATCCCGTCCGAGTTGTGCCGCTAGAATCGAGACGTTGGCGGAACAGAGTGAGTTTGGTGATACGCCGCACAGAGCGAAATGCTTGGAGAGGTTGGGTTGTGTGCTTTTGCTGCACGCTTCATCCACACTTACACGATGATGCAGATGAATATTTCATGCATTGTTGGTCCTGTAGCGATTGGTTCTTACTGCATGTACGGCTGTCTTCTTCACCGTGACCCACGCATGCATACGCTAACCTACGCTTGGTACCAACAGCTACATTCCGTGGTGTCCATAAGAGTCCATGGCATCCACACGCAACACCCAGCAGTACGGCAGTAGTGCCCGATAAGGGAATGCGTATACCCTGCCTTCAAGTGTCAGCCTCTCGACGAAACCGCCACTGCCTGCAAAAGGCGAACCTACATAGCCCATCCACACCTCATCTGATAAGAAATTACGAAATTTCATGCTGCGAGCCCTTGCAGCGATCCCCCTCTCTCCCTCACAACGCGGGTATTGCGGCTGAAACCCGGTTGTGTGTTCGTCCCATTTAACGGTTTCACGCTTCGACAGTGCGTGGCCAATAGGTGAGTCAGAAATCAACAGAAATCATATTTTTTACGTTGTTTCTCTCCACAACAGACACAACAAATAATTCATTTCTTCCAACAGGTAATAGTCCGGATTAGATGGTGTAGAGAATCCTTTTGTATCGTAGTCTCACATTTTTTCTCGAGCGGCAAGACAGAGGCAGCAACGTCGAACGACCTCGTCGTGTTGGGGCATGTGTCAAGACCGTATATATCAATGAGCAATTTCCTGGTGGCAGCAGCTGCCCTACGCCGACCACGATCGCTTGACCGATTCGTTAGCGGTTAAATCGCTCCGCTTGCCCTTATCCACTCAGAGCCATGTGGCTAAATGCCCAGCACGGAAGGGCGCCGACTATTAACAAGCGTTGTCTACGTCCGTTCCCGTGGGGCGGCCCTCGTTCCAGCAGGTGGCGTTGGTGGTTACTCTCTGTGTCTTGCTGGGAGTTCTCATGTGGGTAGGGGGGGGTGGGCTAGACATTCAGCCTAGCTCTTCGTCAGACGAAGCGCAGCACGGCACGACCCCGAACGCCTCCGGCCGCGGTAAGCAAGGCGCACTTTTTTTTTACCAGTATCGTAGGAGTCGGAGGGATGGCACCCCGACTGTCAAAGCTCGATTTCTTCACGTGGGTGCGGAAAGAACCCAATACGTGTATACGGAAAGCCGTTCACGAGATGTTTCCAAAACCACCATTATTGGTGTTGGCACAAACGAATATCCGTAAGAGGCGTAGAGATGGCACCCGTCCCTAGAGTGACTTTCAAAGGTCGAATGCTCCACAACCAAGATTGCCTGTACCGTATACCGTATACCGTACCGTGGTATTCCGTAAGAGGCGGAGAGCTGGCACCCCCCCTAGACCGGCTTTGAACGCTCCATCGCTCCACAACCAAGCGGGTGCGGAAAGAACCCGCCACGTCTACATATACGGAAAGCCCTCGACGTGATGATTCCCTAACGACCAATGTTTATATTGCCACAAGCTTGGTTTCGGGGCAATCGAGCTTGGAAAATTGTCTACGGGGGGTGTCATATCTACCGCCTGTTACGCATGTTCCTGCGCGTGCGGCGTCTGGGGTGGGGGAGACGGAGGTATCCCGCCGCCAGCGAGGGCCCCGGGAGGCGACATTTTATGTCTGGTTCGGTGCGTGCTTGGTTAGCCCACGATTGGCAGGTAGATCGACCCTTCCCTTCCTCCGATCTACGGAATCAGACGTGCCTAGGTTCAGTAGGACTGACCCTGCTGTTATAATAGGTTTGTCAGCGTCTGTTCGGCGCTGCGTGTGCCGCCCATCTTACTCCTAGACGCACAATGGAACAAGTGCGCTCTCAAGCCCCACGTGTGCTTGTCGTAGCTCATCCGCGCCGCCGATGTCGGTCTAGTGGGTTCGCCCTCGATCTACCCCTCCCCCGCGCGCTCTACGTCGCGCGTCTATTTTGTTCCCCGCGTTTGCTGACATCGTGCGACGGCAGAGGGGGGGCTGAAGCCTACGTTGGCCGACAGACCGGCAGACGCTTTCGACTGCGAGTTAGACGTCGTTCTGAAAAGGTCTGCGGCTTCGAGTGGGCTCAACGACTCCGAGATCGAAGAGGCGAGGGTGGCGGCAAGGGATGCCGTCAGAGAGGCGTTGCGGAAACCCGGGGGTCTCCCTCCGCGTTCCGTCGATGGGGTCTTGTCGGCATCCTGCAACCTGCAGGTGAAAGGCTTGCCCCTTTACCACGACAAGGGGCAAACGTGCTGCAAGGCGGCCCATAAACGACCGGCACAGCAGCAGGCTCATTCCAAAGACAACGGGCCACAAGGGAGGCGTGGGCTGGAGGCGGAGGAAGGGGAGGGAGTTGAACCCCTGCCTGGGGTGCTGAGAACGACGCAGAGAGCGGAGGCGGCCGGGGGGGACGAGGTGGCGTGCTTGCCAAGCTTCATTATCGCGGGAACGCAGAAGAGCGGTACTACGGCGCTCACGGGTGAGAAGGAAGGTTATGCGAGGGACAGGGGTAGGGCGATGAGGAGAGAGAGAGAGAGAGAGAGATTGGAGGGGCGGGGAAGTGTGGCGCGGTTAGTATTGTTGTTGCAGCTGCTGCAGAGTCGTCATGGGGGTGTCGTGGCAACCAACCTAGCATGACCGAGCTTCGGTTGTTGAGGTAGAGCAAGCGCCGGCTCTTTTGCCGGCCGGTGGCGCAAGAGCTCCCCCTTCTTGTCGGGTTGGCAGAATCTGTGTACTGTACAGGAAGAAACAAGGCCGAGACGTGCGTATCGACGCAGGCTGTGGTGTGATCGCCGAATTAAGAAGGATACTGCCCCGTTCTTATGTGTCGGCTGGCCTCCGACAGCAAGGTCGCCGTTGTCGCAATTTTCCTACTTTTGGATACGTTTTCTTTTCCCGGGAACACTCCTAATGCCACTAAATGCTGGCGTGCAGGCGACACGTTTTGCTCGACCTGGTGCCTACGAGATCATGACAACGTAAAGTTCACGCACAATGATGCTGACGAAGAGCACGTCCAGCAACACAAGTCGGAAAGTTTGAGACTGCAGTACCGTTTCCACCACCATCACGAGCAACGGCGACTCGAGCGGCAGCATCGCACTCAACGAAAAGCGAAATCGAAGAGAGCACTGCCAACTACAATAACTTGAGCAAAACCAACACCATGAAAGTTTCTGGAAACACAGCGACAACGGTCATGAATGCCAAGAGTTCGACATTTACAATCTGACAAGGACATCAACATGAACCATCAAACTTATTCCGCGACAGGCATACTGGAGAAGCACCCGCAGGTTATGATGGCGGAACGGAAGGAGCTCCATTTCTTCGACCACAAGAATCCGAACCAGCTCAACGCGGCATCGTACGCGTTCAACTTTCCAAGGTAGGAAGAAATAACAACCGACTGCTCTCTGGACTGCTGATTTAGAGTCCTCCACTGTGCGTTTGGAAAGGAGAATGTTCCAATGTACATAGGTTTCGCAGAAGAAGAACAGCGACGGCGGGTCCGTTTTCCTACAGCAAGGCCTGCTCTCTTGGCTTACGTCGCACAGCCCTGCCCGGAGAGGTTAACGAAGTTTGGTACATGGTCGAGACGCCCCCCCCCCCACGCCCCTCTCCACACTGGTCAGTGTGTGGGTAGATAGTCCGGAAGGGGCAAACCTCCCCGCCGATAGCCTTCCACACTGCTGGTAACGGGAGTCCCCCTCGAGGGTTGGCGTGTCAAGGAAATCATCATCCAAGCTAGTCGGAAGTCGGAATTTCGGGAGGGTACAATTTTGTTTTGGTAGCGCTTGGTTACTGCTGCGGAGCAACCATTTTCCAACACGGATGTCCATCCCCCCTCAACCTCGTCCGGGAACGTCAGAATACGATTGGTGCGTAGGTACGACGAGGCGACAGTCACTGGGTGCCATCCAACCGTTTCACTCGTGCAGTCTGTCCCACCCCGTCCTTCCGCTGGACATGCATAGTTCGAAGACCACAAGCCTTGAATCAGCAGCAGCAGCAGCAGCAGCACCCCTTGGCGCCCCGCATCCTGTCCGCATCTCTTTTTGCCCGGCCGTGTCTTTGCCGCAGTTTTAATGCCTCCCAGGCGGCGGAACACCGAGCGCCGTTCGTGGTGGGGGAGGCGACGCCGTTCTACCTTGCCAGCCGAAAGGCCTGCATGAACATGAGAAAACTGGTGGGTGCTGCGTAGCGCGTGGGAATCGGGGCAAGCCGTTGTTAGCCGTGCGCACAAGGAAGATCTACGGCCATCATGCAACAACATGAATGTTGTTGCTGATCTTGTGCCGGACTCTTTTATCTGTCTGTGGAAAAGGTGAATTATTTGCTGTGTTTTTGTAGTCATATGAAATGATGGCATGGCAAATTTGTGTGAGCGCGCGCGCCTGGAAGAGGTGGCAAGTCACGGCAGACCACATTCAGCGCGCTGACGGTTTGGTGTCTGAAAATGCCCGCGATAAAAGTTGTGAGTTGTGATTCATCGAGCGCGCATCCATACGATGGAGAGTGGCGGGATTACGCGAGAGTATGCGGCAAATTCTGAAAAGCGTTCACGTTTCCACCGGTGGGCTCTGCGTACTTACGTGAGAGTCGGTCAGCTATGAGGATACGCATGCATGCGTGTACACGATGAACCTGAAGAGTCAGCACATGGCGAGGGTGCTCACAACAAGTGCAAGGCATTCGGTCAGGGAGGTTAGGGTCACGAAAACAGGCTTCAGAACACCGGAAGAAGTTGGTGCTGGCAACAAGCAACGGGGGGGGAGCGCAGAGGGGTCGTATCCCTGATTTCGCGGAGCCTCCGCGAGCGCGACGCCGGTCGCTATCGATACACCCGTTGCGATTTCAGTTGTGTCAGGGAAAAAAGAGGCGTGTCTGCGGTTGGTTTGTGTTTGGCCCGTAACCACAGGGGGGGGTCCTCTGTCTCACACACACTCACTTTTCCCAAAGGACCAGCCACACCGAGATGTTATGCGCAAACAGTACCCATCACAACAACAACGACAACAGCAGCAGCAACAACAACAACAACAAGCGAGCAAACAGTAAAGGGGCTGCAGGGGCTGTGGGGCTCCTTGGGACGCGTGTGAGCGGTGAAGGGGGGAAGGCCGCTCCACCGCTAGCCTTCTCTGCACCCTGCGACGCATCCATCGCCCAAAACGTGCTGCCCACCGCAAAAATCAGATAGTGCGCACGTCCTGTACGTAGCAGTTAGGTAACTTTTTTTTGTTGCGCTGCTGAGGTTGATGTTCGCCTTGTCTACCGCGAAAGATACCCCCCCGCCCTCCTCCATCTTGGCGTTTATTTTTGGTCAGGTCCCGGACGTCCGGCTGTTGGTTCTCGTGAGGGATCCTGTTAAGCGGGCCTACAGCGAGCACCAGATGAAGGTATGGGGGTGGGGATAGGGGGTGGCATAATCTCACATGTGACCCTCTGGGTCTGCCATTTTTTGCTGGTAAGGCATTGCCATCCCACTCGCGCGGGATGTGGGATCGAGACATGTCCCGACGATGGCGATGGTCGATGAAGGTATGCGGGGTGTCACATGATATGCAGTGTCGTCCTACTTGGTGAAGGTATACGGGGGAGGGTGTGTGACGTGAAATGTAGTCCTACTCGCGCGGGATGTGGGCTTGAAACGTGTCCCGATGATCTCGCCTCCAGGGCCACACAGTAGGTGCAGGCATGGGGGGGTGGGGCTCGGAGGGGGTGACGTGATGTGAAATGTCGTCCTACTTGCTGAAGGTATGGGGAGGGGGTGGGGTGATGCGAAATGCCGTCTTTCATGCGCAGGATGTGGGCTTGAAACATGTCCCGACGATCGCCCCACGAATCGCGGTTTAGGCTTCGGTATGCTTGGAGGTTCTGCGGCGGCACGTAGGCGTCCCCTGGCGTACCGTATGTGACACAAGATAACACCCCCCCTGGACCTAATTTCGAAGCCCGAGTACTCAACGATAAAGAGGATGCATAAATGATCCGATACGTTTTCGGAAAGCTGTCGACGAGACGGCTTCAACGCCGCCGTCCGCGGCGCTTCAACTCTTGTGCTGTGGGAAAATCGAGCTTTGAACATTGGTGCAGGGGGTGTGGTATCTTACGCAACCTACGGTAGTACTGTTGGGCATGTTGATCTCTCTCACGGACATGGGTTTGTCCCCATGAACATGGGTTTGCCACTACAAAGTTGATGTTTTGGTTTTGTTTTCTAGTGGCCCTCGTCATTACCAGCTGCCCTAAAACATGGCGCAATCATTCATTTCACCACCACACGTGTGGCAGAATCGTTCACCACGTTACATGGGTCAAGGGAGGCAAGGCACCCGCGTTCACAGGTCACCAAGGACGACTTACGCACCGGTTGTAGACTAAGAGGGTTGCTGGTTTCGCCACCCCGTTGTGCCATGATCGCACACGACAGGTGCGGCGGGTGGAAGAACAAGGGGAGATGTTGGAGCTCTTGCCCCTCCACGCGAACAAAATCTACGACTGCGCCGTGAAGCTCTTTCCCTCCTTGGACGGCGAGGACATCTCCGAAAGGTAACGTGTTGCGCGCCTCCCCCGAGAAGAATGTCCGATCTCCCGTAGGCTATTAGGATTATCTTGGTGTACAGTGTTGAAGAGGTTGGTATCCCGCCGCAAGAAATTGGTCTGATTTCTTATTTCTCAGAATTCTGAGATTTTTGTTGTCTTTGCGTAGCGTAAGAGAGTGGTTTGATGCTGAAAGAATAGGGCATGATACCTCAACACCCTGCGATTAAACGCCTTGCGTGGTGTAATAGAGCGGCATGAAGCCACAAGAAAGCGGCCTGATGTCCCAGAATTCCGGGATTTTTCTAGTGCGAAGAACGGGGGTATTCGACGAAAAAGCGTCCGATTGATCCAAGAGGTTGGAATCTTGGGCGTGACCTGCGAGGTCGCTGTTGATTCACCGATACAAGTGGTTCAAAGGCTCATGCCGTCGCTTCAAGCGCCGCGAATACATGGTGTCCCAATCCGTTCCTAATTGCCCTCCCTTTCCCCTTGGAAGTTGGGCTCTCAGAACCTGCGGCTTGTCACTACATGTCCTTCCGTGAGCGTGTCTGATATTTTTGACCTGCTTGTTGCCATCGACCGGCGCTAACTTCACCGGCTGGCCGAGATGAAAAAACGCGCCAGGCCTATAGTTGGGGGACGAAAAGCGCATAAACCCTTGTTCTGGTCCGTGTGTGAGCACGGGCGACTTGCACGTCTCTTGGCGTGGCACTACGCGGGGGTTGGGGGGGGGGGCAAGCAGATGGGACACGCACAGGACATCGGCGGCTGCTGTTGTCCGAACCACTATTCTGGAAGATTGTTCGCTGTCAGACTCCCCCCGTCGCTGCCGTACCGCTGTAGGTTCCGGCTCGCCTGGATTCCCCCTCCGCCCACCCCCCCGGTGTTTGCCATCGGGGTTGGGTTTTCGTCGCTTGGCAACGACGTTGGAAACCAAGCCAAGCCGCCCCCCCCGGTGTTTGCCGTCGGAGTTGGGTTTTCGTCGCTTGGCAGCGATGTTGTGAAACAAGCCAAGCCGCCCCCCCCGGTGTTTGCCGTCGGAGTTGGGTTTTCGTCGCTTGGCAGCGATGTTGTGAAACAAGGCCGATCACTTCGTAAGCTCGACAACCAGGTTGCCGCTTGTTTTTTTTTTTTGCCTTTTTTTTTGTTTGCGGTAACCATGATTGGTGGTCGAGTAGATCATGTTGTGCGGGGTGGAGAACCCTCGCTCCGCGCAAGGGGGATGATCGCACCACGTTGTGTTAAAATGGTCAAGCACCCTCGAGGCAGTTACACAGTGCTTACAACTGTCTCTGGAAGTGAAAGCACCAGACAATATATTCATACGCAGCTGTCATCCATCCGTACGCAAGGAAGTAAGCACAAGATGCCGAACA